GGGGTTTAGGGTTTGTTTAGGGCTTTAGGGATTTTCAGGCTAGGCCTTTTGAGTTTAGCCGATCTGAACTGGATTGAGAAGGGTTGCAAAAGGCTTTGCAAGGGGGTTTTCGGGGTTCGAAGAAACGGTTTCTAGAGTTTATCAGGTTGCGATTCTCAGGGAGATGCCTGTTGGGATTTTGGGTACGGGTCTTTGTTGATGGATCTGAAAAAAGGTAGATTCCTACATGATGAGGAGACTGCATAGAAAGGGGTCCTAGTGCCTAAACCCGAAGCCTCAAATCCGCCACCCTAAAGCCAATCCCGACGGCGGCATTGTTTGCAGTTTTCTGGGTAACCTGCATTGAAGGACTAATGACTAGCGTCTGCGGCTTGTTGTCAGTTGTGTCTGGGGCTTTGGACCCTTTGACAGAGGGGTAGACAGCTTAAGTCTCGGTTTTGATACCGCGTCATCTGAAAAGGAATAAATTGGTTCTCTGTTCGGCTCAGTAGAGTCACAATGCAGAATTTCAACCCCCAAACCTGAAACCACCCGAACGCCCATATGGGGGTATGAGCGGATAGGTGGATAGATGGATGAACGGACGGATGAATGGCTGGATGGAAATTACGGTTTATCTGTTCACACTCTAACATAGCTCACAACCCTAGTGCTAAGTAAAAGGAACAGACCGTCATCGGATGCGTTCCTGAGGCACTGGCATCGGTTCTTCCACTCGTTCCCTTGACACTGGTGGCCAACGAGGCCAGATGGATCCTCGCAACGTGGAAGGCGCAGGGGAGTCCTTCTGAATGATGAGTCGCTTGAGGGTGCCTTTTTATAGCTGTGCTGTTCCATTGCTACTACCACCTCCTCCTCCTGTTACTCCTGCTCCTACTCCTACTCCCAGTCCCACACCTACTCCTGCTCCTACTTTTACTCCTCCTCCGCCTCCGCCGACGTCGACCCTGGCGGCGACGGCGACGGTCTGGCGACGACGAAAGACGACGACTACCGTCACCACTCCAGCCCTTTCCGCATCACAGGTACAGGTTCAACTTGTGAAGCAACAATGACAAAGCTCATGCCCCGTGCCAGGCTCACGAAGCGCAGCATGTGTTGATTTGGTCATCCTCCGGCTTGCGCATCCTCACCTTTCTCACCTGCGCTGCCTCTCGGTCTTTCGGGGTTTGTTCTGTAGGGGTTCATACAGTCTTAACTATAAGGTTCCAAGGGTTCTATCAGGGTTCAGAGACCAAGGCATCAGCAGCATCCACCGCGCACTTGGCCCTGAAGCCAACGCAAGGCCTTTCGGACACTTGCCGCGCTGTGCATTGGAGCACCCTTGGCGTTTGCTTCCTTTGCGCCCCCTTCTCACTGGCCTGCAGCCTCATTCGTGCCCGAACTCCGCCTAGCACGCAGAACTGTCTCTGTGAGGGGGTGGTGGACAGCAACGCGGGGTAGAGACGGCAGAGCCAAATCTACCCCAACGACGACATGGACAGTTTCAACCCCGACCCTAAACTCTAAACCCTAAAACCTATAAACCCTAAACCCAAAGCCCTAAACCCTAGAGCCTAAACCCCGAACCAAAGAGACCCCCGCTTTTGAGTTTTAGCCCAGAAGTTTTCCCTTTCAGCGGAGCATGGGGCTCCCTGCCCAGAGAACCCAAGATGCCTTAATTAAGGAATATACCTTAAATCATACTATGGAGGCCCCTATAGTTTAAGGTATATAGGAATATATATATATATACATACATACCTTAAATCATACTATGGAGGCCCCTATAGTTTAAGGTATATAGGAATATATATATATATATATACACCTTAAATCATACTATGGAGGCCCCTATAGTTTAAGGTATATAGGAATATATATATATATATATACATACACCTTAAATCATACTATGGAGGCCCCTATAATTTAAGGCATATTCCTCAATTAAGGGGTATTGGGTTCTCTGGGTGAAAGGGCTGCAGGATTTTGCAGCTTCCGGAGAAAAATGTCGCTCCTGGGCTTAGGGCTTTTCTGGTTCAGGGTTCAGGGTTTAGGGTTTAGGGTTTAGGGCTTATGGGGTTTAGAGGTATAGGGTTTAGGGGTTTAAGGGTTTAAGGTTTGGGGTTTAGGGTTTAGGGTTTAGCGTTGGGCTTGGGGGCTTTTAGGGTTTCAGGTTCAGCTCAGGGTTTAGATTTTTGTTGCTGTTGCATCATACGACCCTGTTTTAAGGGTTTAGGCTTAGGAAAGCCTTAAGCTCCAAATCCTAAGGCCTCAAACCTAAACCGTTGTTCTAAGCTTCAAGCGCTCAACTTCGGGGTTTGGAGTTGGGCTTAGGGTTTAGGGTTTAGGGGTTTAGGGTTCTAAACCCTAAAGCTTAAACCCTAAAGTACAGCCTGAACCCTAAAGCTTCTACCCTAAAGCCTGAACCCGAAAGCCGAAATCCTAAAGCCTAAACCCGAAAGCCTAAACCCTCACGAGAGGAACAGATGTGGAACTAAAGCCCTCGGCCAAGTGCCCAGCCATCCTCACCTTTGCATGTGCGATTTTTGGACAGACTATGGTTCGGGCTCCCTTGCTGAGGGTTCAGGTTCAGGGGTTTTAGGGGTTTAGAGTTTAGGGGTTTCAAGTTTAGGGTTCAGGAGGGGTTTAGGGCCTAAAGTTTAGGGGTTTAAGGGTTTTAGAGTTTAGGAGTTTCAAGTTTTTGGTTTAGGGGTTTAGGGCCTAAAGTTTAGGGGTTTAAGGGTTTTAGAGTTTAGGGGTTTCGAGTTTAGGTTTCAGGGGTTTAGCCCCTAAAGTTTAGGGGTTTAAGGGCTTCGGGGTCACTTGGATTCGACACCAGTTCGTTTAGGGACCTGCGTCGAGCCTAGCTGCAGAAGCCGCTTCTTGCATCGAAACTCGATGGTTGTGGTCAGCGACGGTATTGATGGCTCTTTCTGACTGCAGGTCGGGATGCACACGACCGAGAACCAGCTCAACTACAGGACACTGGGATGAGTGATTCAGGGCTGAGGTTTTTTGGGATTTGAGGTTCATCAATTAATATGTCGCAGTTTCGCAGCTCGGAGGTTCATTCGTAAAAGAATATTGAGTATTGCCGCACGGTTCTAGCCTGCATCAAGCGGGGTCTAGAAAGTAGAACATGCTCTCAACCGCAGGCATTCTACATGAAATGCCGGCACCACAAAAACCCGTAAGCGGCATTGCGGGTTGAGGGATATCCAGTGCCTTCACTTCACGAAGCCGTATGGGATCTATAGGAGGGTTCTACTTACAATACGAGAGTGCCCCAAACCCTGAACCCTAAACCTTAAACTCTAAACCCTAAGCCATAGACTCTAAACGCTGAGACCAGAAGCCCCAAACCCTAAACCTTGAGCACTGAACCTTAAACCGTAAGTTCTAAGCCCTATAAGCCCTTAACCCTGAACCTCAAACCGGGTGTAAGGTTTATGGGGCATGCGCCGGAGATCCCTCCAAACCAATTCTATAAATCAGGAGCGATGCTCCCTACAAGCTTTTCGCGTTTCGGAATTGGAGCTTAGGGCTTCGCGTTTAGAGTGTAGGGTTTGGTCGAGGATCCAGGGTTTAGATACTTCGATTATTGACGGGCCCGGACAAGAAAGATCCTTCTACTTAGGGTCTATGAGGACCCCTTCATTTTCTGAAACTTCCGTATCTCAAGACATACGGTGTACACATCCTGAATAGTATGGTGCTGCTCTAACTACGCCTAAAATCCTTTGCAGGGCCTAATGGTGAGTAAGATCATCGTTCACCTGCTGATCACTTCTAAAGGCCACAAGCCCAAACCCTAAGAACCAGGCAAAGCCAAAGGCCCTACCTCAAACTCCAAACCCCTAAACCTCAAACCCTAAACCCTATAAGCCCTAAACCCCAAACCTTCAAAACCTATGAACCCTAAACCCTAAACGCCTAAACCCTAATACCTCAAACTCCAAACCGTGAGCTGCTGGGTCTGCGCGGCAGCTTCGTGGCTCTGTGGCCAAGGATTCGCTTGACTTAACAAAGAGGTCTGAATACTTAACAGTACTAATGCTGTCATAGCGCTAGCAGCAACATTGCATATCTTCCTATACTTGCACTATTACTGAACCGAAAACCCTATTCTCAGTCTAGTTTCTGTGTTCGATCTGTAGTAGGTCTATGCAGAGACCGGAATTTGGACGGCCCGAAGCCCAAAAGCCCAACCCTAAACCCGCTAAACCCCAACTGGAATGTAGGCTTGAAGGGCGGTGAGGTTGAGAAGAGCTTCGAGCTTAAAGCCTCATGAACGTTGTAGGAGTTAGGGCTTAGGAATTTCGGGCTTAGGATTCTAGCCTTTAAGGCATTTTTTCGGGTTTTGCAGCCCTGCGAGCCTTCTGCGCCATGGCGGGCGCCGGCCCCAATGGAACAGGCTTGGCTTGGGAGGGTGGAGTTTCCCTAAACTCTATAATTACGCCGTAAACCCTGTACCCTAAACCCGAAGCTCTAAGCTCTGTACTAAGCCCCAATCTTGAACCCTAAACCCTAAACTGTAATGGCCGGTGAGTTTAGGTTTGCGGGGTTCGGGATTCCAGGGAACAAGGAGTTAGGGTACGTCGACCTTCGAACACCCAATCATGCCCCTACCACGTCTGAAGGGTGCTTCTTGGGAAAACCAGTGAAGTGATTCTGTCTTAATCTTTTCGGGGGTCTGGGTACTACCACCACCACCACTGCTACTACTGCTACTACTGCTGCTGCTGCTACTACTACTCCTCCTACTACCACTACTGCCACCATTACTGCTACTGCTACTGCTTCTACTACGACGGCTACTACTACTTCTACTACAACGCCTAGTCCTGCTACTCTTGCTGGGATCCTAAATCCAGCGAGACCCACGCTGCATAATTGCCCTGAACCCTGAAGCCCCAACACCCAAGGGCCTAATCCCTACGGAATCCTGCATTACCCATTATCATAAGGAATATACCATAATTCCCATAGTTTAGGGTTCTTTAGGTAATGCAGGATCTATGTCATCAACAGTATGAGGCTTTCGGGTATCGATTGTCCATCGTGCTGCTTCAATACAAGAAATTCTCCGCCAAGGGTACTGGTATTTGGCCCTGTTTTCGAAACTTCGGTCGGCCCTAGTCCTGTATAAACAGCAAAGTCCGCAGCCCTGCACCTGCGGCCCTCAAGCCAACGGCGTAAATGCACGCAGGGGCACCGCAGCTGGCTATCATAGGCCCCAGCAGATTGCTGCTTTTTTTTAAATGGCCGGATATGGATTTGGGGCCCAAGCTTCGGGCTTTTCGCTTGAGGATTTGCAGGCATTGTGGCTTGTTTACAGGATCAGAGGACTTTGTAAGTTCGCGGTAGGTACTCTCACGTCTATTAAAACCTACATACTGCACTAAAACCTACATACTGCGTCCGTTGATCCCCTGACTCGCACCTGTCGTCTGAACATCCTGAGACCTGCATTCGTGGCCCACGTGTCGTCTCTTTTCCCGATTCCAGCGGCATGCTGACAACTTACGAGGAGTGTATTGAAAGTGGGGAGCCCCAGAATAGTTCTGCAGATGGCAAACTTCCACCTGGATTCGGGAGCTCGACATGTGCGGCGCCTGTTAAAGCCCCACATGCCTATGATTATGACCTCTCAAGCCTAAATATCCTCAACCCTAGACCCTTGGCGCTTCAAAATTGAAGCAGCCTAGACTTTTTTCTAAACTTTAAGTTTGCGCTGAAATCCTGTAGCCCTTATCCGTAACCCAAAGCCCCTGCAAACTAACAGTTCGTAGAGCGACAGCCCTCGACTTTGTTTGGGTTGGAACCACGGGCGCTGCATGTCTAGCCCAGCCAAGGGCTTCGTGTTCAAGGCGCTGACTTTTGGCTCCGCAAACACCAATGTAGGGGCCTAAACCCTACACCCTAAACTCTATTCCCATGTCGTTCTTGTGATAGTTTGTAGCATAATCGAACCCCAAGACCCAATTCTGATCCTTAAGGCCCTTCTATTCCTCAAAGGACCATGGGACTGAGGATGCTGATTCAAAACTCAGGGTGTAGCGGGGCTTTGTGGATTTAGGGTTTTTGCTGTTGCAGGACAACCCTACCCGAAACCTTGAACACACTTACCCGGAAACCCAAAACCCTAAAACCCTAAACCCTAAAATCCTAAACCCTAAACCCCTAAACCCTAAAATCCTAAACCCTAAACCCCTAAACCCTAAAGCCCTAAAGCCTTAAAGCCCTAAAAGCCCTAAAAGCCCTAAAGCCCTAAACCTCTGTGCAAGAGCACCAGCGACTGAACGTCTGAAGCTCCCAGTGCCCAAACTCCCGCCCTGCAATCTGAATACGGTTGACATACAGTAGAAGCCGAAAAGTTGGAAACCCAATAGCCTCAATCCTTAAGAGT